ACTGTATCTGACCCAGCCCCTGTCTTAGACCCAGCATTGGAATTTCCCCTAATCTTGTTCTTAGTACCAGGCAAGACTTCACCCTGGAAATTGGCCACAATCTGAGATTGGGAAGGACCCACTATATCTGGCTCAGTCCCTGCTTTAGACACAGCATTGGGATTGATCCTGACCTTGTTCTTAGTACCAGTCAGGTACACTAGGTTTTCACACTGGGAATTGGCCACAGTGAGGCACTGGGCAGAGCTTGTTGTATCTGCTAGAGGTTGGGCACAGCCCATTGCATCTGCCCTAGCCTCTGCCTTAGACACAGCACCGGGATTGACCCTGACCTTGTTCTTAGTACCAGACAAGGCTTCGACCTGGGCATTGTACACAGCCTGGAGCTGGGCAGAGCCCACTGTATCTGGCCCAGTGCCTGATTTAGACACAGCATTGGAATTGCCCTTGGCTTTGTTCTTAGTACCAAACAAGACTTCACCTTGGGAATTGGTTACAACCTGAGATTGGGCACAGTCCACTAGATCTGGCCCAGCCCCTGTCTTAGACACACCACTGGACTTGCACCTAGCCTTATTCTTGATACCAGGAAAGGCTTCACCCTGGGAATTGGTCACGGCCTGGAGCTGGGCAGAACCCACTGTATCTGGCCCAGCCCCTGTCTTAGACACAGCATTGGACTTGCCCTTGACCTTATTCTTAGTGCTGGGCAAGGTTTCATCTTGGATATTAGATATCTCAGGCTGGGCAGAGCCTATTGCACCTGGCCCAGCTGCTGTCTTAGACACAGCATTGGGATTGCCCCTGACCTTATTCTTAGTACCAGACAAGACTTCACCATGGGAATTGGCCACAGCCTGGGGCTGGGCAGAGTCTGTTTTATCTGTTTCAGGCTTGGCAGAACATATTGAATCTGGCCCGGTTGCTGCTTTAAACATAGCACTGGGATTGCCCCTGACTTTATTCTTAGTATTAGGTGAGGCATCATCCTGGAAATTGGCCATACCATGGAGCTGGGCAGAGCCCATTGTATTTGGCCCAGCCCCTGACATAGATATAGCATTGGAATTGCCCCAGATCTTATTCTTGGCACCAGGCAAGGCCTCACCTGGGGAATTTGCCATAGTCTGAGGCTGACCACAGGCCCTCAGGTCTGCCTTAGTCCCTGACCTAGAAATGGCATTAGGATCATCCCTGCCATCAGGTAAAGCATCAGCTTGGATCTTGACGCCAACCTGAGGCTGCGCACAGGTTTTCATTTCTATCCCCACCTCTGCTTTACACTTGCTTTTGGCTTTTCCCCTAGCCTTACCTCTAGTACCAGGTAAAACCTCAACGTGGCTCTTGTTAGAAGCCTGAGACTGTGCCTTTGTGTCTGTCCCACCCCCTTCCTTAGACATGGTGTTGACATTGCTTTTAGCCTTAATCCTGCCATCAGGCAAGGCATCAACCTGGACATTGGCCATAGGATGAGGCTGTGTATAAAGCTCAATGTCTGTCCCAGCCCCCATCTTAGACATGGTATTGGGATTGTCTCTGATCTTAACCCTGGCATCAAGCAAGGCCTCAGCCTGGGAATTGGTCCTCAAGTTTGCCCTGACCCCTGTTTTAGACACAGCATTGGAATTGCCTCTACCTTTAACTCTGGCATCAGGCATAGGCTCAACCTGAGCACTGACTATAGCCTGAGGTTGAGCAGCAGCCCTCATGTCACCTCCAGTCATTGTCTTAGATGTGACATTGGTATTTCCTCTGTCATCATCCCTGGCCCCAAACATTGCTTCAGCCTGTTTCTTGTCCACAGTCTGAGGTTGTGTTGAAACTCTCATATCTTCCCCTGCCCCTGCCTTACACACAGCATTGGTATTACCCCCGGCATCAAACTTTACCCCAAGCATAGCCTCAGCCTGGGTCTTGGCTACAATCTGAGGCTGAGCAGAAGCCCTCATGTCTGCCCTAAACTCTGCCTGAGACACTGTTTTGTGATTCCCCTTGGCCTCAACCCCAGCACCAGGCATGTTGTCAACCTGGATCTTGGCCACAGCCTGAGATGGTACACAGGACTTCATGTCCACTCCAGCTTCTCTCCTGGACATGGTATTAAGATTTCCCTTAGCATCAACTATGTGACCAGGCCTGGCCTCAGACTGAGTCTTGGCCACATTCACAGTCTCATCCAGGGCTGTTGCCTTGGTTTCAGCCATAATTCCAGTCTTATTTATGGCACCCATCTTGGCTGCTTCCCTGGTCACTCCCAAGGCCTCGTTCTGTGTCACCATTACTTTGTTTGTGTCTTTTTCAGCCAGTAAACAAGCTTCCACTTTTGTCTGGGTCATTATTTGCTTCTTGGTTTCTGCCCTGGCAACCAGTGCCCAAGCTTTAGCCTTGGTCTGGGTCACAGCCTCCTTCTTGACTACTCTCCCAGCCTCAGAGTCAGTTTGGGTCACTGCCTCTTTCATGGCTACTTCCCCAGTTTTGAGCTGGGCCACATTCAGAGTCACTGCCTCTATCATGCCCACTGTTGTGGACACTGTTTTGGCCTCAGACTGGTTCTCTGCCTCTACCTCAGCCATTGTCTTGGCCTGAGAGTTCGCCTTAGCAATGGTGGTAGTGTCTACTTCAACCCCAATCCTACCTCCTGCTCTGGTTTCTGCTCCAGTCTTGGCCATGGGTCTAGTCTCAGTCTCTGTTCCAGCCATGGCTTCACTCATGGCCAAGGTCTGGTTCTGTACCCCAACCACAGTCTCCATCTTGACTCTGGACCCATTTCTGGAAAGTTTCCTCACTCCCTGGGCTCTTCCTTTGGCTAATTTGTGAATGCAGTAGCAGGTACCAGCCCAGATCACCAATCCTGCAGTCACCCAACCCACTTCCTGAATGCGACCCATGTAATCACTCCTACTGAAGGCACGAACAAGGTACGGGGAGCTCAATCAGGATGGGGAAAGAGGGTAGTAGGTCTGGGTGTAGGCCTGTGAGGCCGCTGGTCTTCAGCCACTTAGAGGCCACTACAGCTGCCACTGGAGGTGGACCTAGAAGTGGAGGAAGGAAATGGACTAAAATTTCTCTTTTAATTTCGTGCATCATACAGATAGATATACAGAAGGACAGAAAAGTGTAGAAATGATGTCCTTGGTGGGAGAAGAGGATGATGAGCAAACTCTGTCTCCATCCCTTTTATTTTCTCCCCTCCCCATTTTCTCCAGTGCCCAACAACTTTCCCCTAAGGTACATCCATACACATTTCCTTACATCAAATGAATAATGAAAAAGATATTGGAGTGTGGTGCTGACTATGAATGGGGGAGACTGAGAAGCCCTCAGACCTCAATTTTTACTAGACCTACTCTTGTCACCACTCTCAGAGGTCCCCACCCTCATACCAACCTGTAATGATCAAGGCAGTTCCCTCCTCTTTCCTTCTTTTGATTGGTGATATACCCTAAAGTAGATCTATAAACTTATGAAATCTGTGGACCTAGAGACAGACAGACAGATGGAGGGACAGATGGGACTGGAGATTTTGTTCTTAATGTGACAGGCACATTATCAAACTATGTTTCTATCTTGCTCTGTTTACCCAACTTTCTGTACCAAAATAAAGGTAAGAGTGTGGGGCAAGTGACAGAGATGGTAGGAAAGGTGGCTGGGAAAGGGAGAGGATAAGGATCCTCCAGACTGCACACTGACCCTACTAGATGCACACTGATCTCCACCAACCCACCCTTGAGATCTACAGGTATTCCCCATCCTCTTACCAGTCTATACCGATCAGAGGCAATTTCCTCCTTGTTTCTTTGCTTCCAGTAATCTCAAGCCCTACAGCAGACCTGCAGTCAGATCTATGGACAAGTAAACAAACAGGAGGTAATAGACACTAAGTCCTCATAGAACACACAAGTGCCCTAATCACTGACCCCAGTACTTGCCTTGCCAGAGCCCATGTCCAATTTGCTAATGTGTTAAATCTTGTGATCCCTCCTCTTGTCTTCTCAGTCACACTCCAGCCCACCCGTATCCCAATATTACTCCTGTTTCCAGGACAGAAATCACCAAGGGATTGGCAACACTGTGGAAATCTGACAGAGTGTGGGAGAGGCAGAAATACCCTCCACTAAGACCCTCTCAAGTCTCGGCCACCTTCTGTGCTCACCCTCTTGTTATCGCAAGGCACTGCTCACCTTCACACCAACCTTCATGGTTCCAAGCCAGTCTCCCCCTTTCCCTTGCTTCCAATGGTAAACAGCCCTACTGTGGGCCTATGGGAAGACCTACAAACAAACAGAGAAGAAGGGGAAGGTTAACTGTTGAGTGCTTGTTACATCCCAATATCTAAAACAGGGGTCCCAGTACCTTCTGTGCTAGATCTAGAAACCCATTCTCTGAAAAGCAGAGCCTGGGGCTTCCCCAGCACTGAAATGGGCAGGGTGTAAAAGGGAGGCAGAAAAAATAAAAGGAAAGAGACAAAGGGAAATTATTTTAAAACCACCTGTAAGATTCTAGGGTTTCTCCCAAAAGTCCATCATTTCTTTCACCAAGGTGTTCAGACAGGGGAATCTGGAAAACTGGAAAATGGAGAAAGAGATGGAGGCCCCCAGATCCCTTACTCCAGAATCATACATAGCAGACTGCCACCTACTTCTCCTTAAATACATCTCTAGAAGTCTCCAGCAGAACAGACAAGGAGTGAGGGAAGGCTTTTTCTTTTGTAAAATTGCTATGCCTCTTGGCAAAGGCTATCTCAAAATATAATAATAATGTTCTTTGATATAATTTGCATTTTCTCAATATTATCTGGAGTGCAAATTAAAGCATCCGTAGAATAGTTTGCTGTCTTTACTGGTCTTCAACATACAATTTAAGTTAAAAATCCGAAGCTTGGTAAGTAAACGCAGTTTAGGGAAAGTCCCCTAGTTAGCCCCACCTTATATCCCAACCAGAGAGCGGTGCCTAAGTTCCTGCCATAGAGAATGCACACAGAACTTCAACTGTCCATAGGCAGTGCCTGTGCTCACACTAACCTCCACAGATCCCGTGCAGTTTTCTTCTCTCTTTCTTCCCTTGCCTCGCCACAAAACAGTGCCACACCGATCTACTGGTCATCAGACAGAAAAGAGGAAACGCGCTGAGTGCTTGGACCAGCACCCAGGACACAGATCCTAATACTCACCTTTCTGAATTCAGGATCCCTGTTATCAAATGTCCCTTCCCGCATTCCAAAACGCCATCCCCACCAACCCCACCGTCCAGTCATCAAGGCCCACCATTTTCTGTGTAAATGCCACGGCGACATGTCCCTTCCAATGAAAGGAGCAGGAATCTGGACGGAAGTGTGAGGTCAGCGATTAGAATCAGAGAGGATGGGACATCTCAATCTCTGCATTTCCCTTTCGAGACACTCCTCCCAGCCACCCCACCCCCTGCCAACTATCCGCCTTGTCATAGCCCAAGATTCCCCAGCACAGACGTAGGCAGGGGGAGGGGACTCGGGAGAATCACAGCGAAGGCTCCTGGAACTTGAACCCGCTTTGTCCGGTATCCATGAACCAGCTACCGGGGTTGGTGGGCGGCTGCCCCCCTGGCCTCAGCGCGCGGGCCCCAGAGCCCTTACCTGCTCCGCTTTCCTCGGACCCAGTGCCAGCCCGCCAGGCGCAAGGCAGCGGGGAGCTGATACCTAGAAGGGAGTGACGACTGCACGGAAAGCTGCGTCGCTCTGCAGCTCCAGGTCATGTGAGGGCCTCGCGTCACCAAGCTCTCTCCCCTCCCACCCCACCCCCTCTGGACAGGCGGGAGTTTTGCAGGACCCTACCCCCCACCTCACGGTGCACCAACTCCCCTTCCACCCTTCATTGCGATGGGCCTCAGCGTGCACCGCCCACTCAGCTCTGTCCTCTCCAATCTGAGTAGCCTCTCTGCCTTGAGGTTGTGGTTTGCCCTTCTAGGGTTACTGGGGAGGGTCTGCATCTCACCCTCCCCCAGGCCGTTGCTCTAGTCTTTTCTCTGGATTCTTAGAGGAATCCTCTGTTTCTGCCTTAGACTATAAGACCAACAGTCCCCATGGGGTACAGTGATGCACCAAAATGGGCTAGGGAAGGGATGTCAGGAAAGGAGGCAGAGAATGCATTTAGAAAGGACGCTTAACATTTTTTATGTTCTTTTTTTTTTTTTAATTTTAACATTGCACTCATTGTTTTTGTAATCGGGAAATGCAGTCAAGCCATTTTCATTTGACATTTAACTTTTAGCTCGCAAAAATAACAAAACACATTATTCTGTGCCACATTAGTTGCTATGAACTATATCAGTTTTCAAAACATATTAGTAATTACTGACATTTTATATACAAATGTCAAACAAAACCACGGTTTCAATGTCATCTATAATCTGTGGGAAAACGTTCAGTTTTCTAAAAGTGTCAATTTCCCACAAGTGATTTACAACCTTTTGAGGTTCTGACTGAAATGAACTATGATCTTGTGTCTAGGAACTTCCTCATAGATGACTCCTGGATGATTGAATGAAGACCCAACTCCTGATGAACCCAGTGCCTGAAAACTGGTGACTTCCTAGATTAACCTGTTTTCCATTTTCAGGGCTTTATTTGGATTTTACACAAGCATGTGATCAAATCAGTCTCCTCACACCCTGGACAGGACCAACTATTATCCCACTGATGGCAATGAGGCTTAGCAGGTGGAATGTTCATTTAATCACGACATTGGTGAGGTATCTCCAGGATCTGTTGTTCATGTACTATATGTCACCCTAGCAGCAGCTTGTGTTCAGCACCTTCCAGTGTAGAAAGTGGTGAGGGTCTGTAAATGAAATCTTTGTCATTTTTCCCTCACAAAAAGCACAGTTTACAGGATCTCAAGCAGTCACCAGAAGAAAGAGGCCTTTTCACTCGCTGCCTTCTGTAACAATTTCACTGTACCACCCATACAAACCCCTCAGAATAATACCAGAACTCAGGGACAAAGTATGCAGAAATTAGTCCCCATTCAGCTGTCCCAGCTAGGGAATCATACTCTAAATATGGACCCTTAGGCAGCCTCTTTCTTTGAAAGCTGAAATATGACACTCTAGCAGGAAGCTCTCCCTACAAGGGGCCTCTGTGTGGGGGAGGCCCCTCTAGGAAGCAAGCCAAGGAGCCCAGAGTGCTCTAGAACCTTGATATGACTTCTCAGAACTCAATTGCTCATGACTAACTTATATTCTCCATCAAATTGAAAGATTCATAAGTTGATTACATAAACATTTAATATTTTATTAAAGTAAAATACAAACCCCACAAGCATAGGATGACAAATGGCTAATTTGTGATAATCTAAAAACTTACAAATCATTAGTAAAATGAGAACTCAATAGAAAAATGAACCAAAGACATGAACAGATTTGTTCTCAGAAAAGAAATACAAATAACTGATAAATATATGAAAAGATGCTCAATTTGAAAGAAATGCAAATCCAAACAACTGTGTCTTACATGTTTCAGCTAGAAGTTTGTCAAAATATAGAAATTTGATAATGTTGTCGATTGGTTTGTGGGGAAATGGGCACTCCCACACTGTTGGGCCACATATTGTGATGCAAACTTTTTTCAGAGAGCAATTTGACACAATCTATTAAATGATAAATACAATATCCCATAAATTCTTTGACCCAGCAATGCTTTTACTAGGAATTTAACCAGCCCATATACCTACACAGTTTCACAAAGCAATGTATATGTATTGTATATATGTATTATAAATACATTTTATATATGTAATGTATAAACATTGTATTATGTATTATATATACATTGTATATATGTATTGTATATACATTGTATTTATATATATGTGTGTGTCTGTGTGTGTGTGTGTATATATATATATATATACACATATATATGTATATCTAATAAAGAATATCTGTTGGATATCTATCGCAGTACCTATAAAGGTTAAAAAAGCTGAAGAAACATACAATGTTCATCAATAAAGAAAAAATTAAATACATCATGTTAAATTTATACAATATGGGGACGCCTGGGTGGCTTAGTCAGTTAAGCATCTGACTCTTGATTTCTTGATTGTGGCTCAGGTCGTGATCTCACAGTTAGTGAGTTTGAGCCCCATGTCAGGCTCAGCACTGACAGTGTGGGGCCTGCTTAAGATACTATTCCTCCCTCTTCCTCTGTCCCTCCTCTGTGCTCTTTCTCTCTCCCCTCTCTTTCTCTCACACACACACACAAAATAATAAATAAACTTTACAAAAATTGTACAATATGGGTAATAAAAAGTTTTAGTTGTGTGTATTCTGATGTAAATATACTTAGGGTATTTTATTATTTGCTGTTTCTTTTCTGTAATTACATGCAAATTCCACAAGAATATATTCTGGTATAAGAGTCAAACCCAGAAAAACACTAGTATCACTTTAAATCCACTGTCCTCACCCAAAGTGCAGTTACCTCCCCATTGTTATAAATTTGCTGTGTTAACTGCTGGTGGAAATGCAAACTGGTGCAGCCACTCTGGAAAACAGTATGGAGATTCCTCAAAAAATTAAAAATAGAACTACCCTATGACCCAGCAATGGCACTACTAGGTATTTATCCAAGGGATACAGGTATGCTGTTTCAAAGGGACACATGCACCCCCATGTTTATAGCAGCACTATCAACAATAGCCAAAGTATGGAAAGAGCACAAATGTTCATTGACCAACGAATGGATAAAGAAGATGTAGTATATATATATATATATATATACACACACACACAATGGAGTATTACTTGGCAATCAAAAAGAATGAAATCTTGGCATTCGTAACTACATGGATGGAACTCGAGTGTATTATGCTAAACGAAATTAGTCAGAGAAAGACAAATATATGACTTCACCCATATGAGGACTTTAAGATACAAAACAGATGAACATAAGGAAAGGGAAGCAAAAATAATATAAAAACAGGGAGGGGGACAAAACATAAGAGACTCTTAAATATGGAGAACAAATACAGGGTTGCTGGAGGGGTTGTGAGAGGGGGGATGGGTAAGGGGCATTAAGGAATCTACTCCTGAAATCATTATTGCACTATGTGCTAACTACCTTGGATGTAAATTTTAAAAAATAAATTAAATTAAAAAATGCTGTGTTAAATGCTTTTCTATACATTATATACAAAAAAATATCTTATTGAAATATATAAATGGTATCATATTTAACATACTGGTTTGCAACTTTTTTTCCCATTTAACATTGTATCTCAGAGAGCTCTAAGTTCTAGTACATTTATATCTGTTTTATTATTTTTAATTGCTACATACCATTCCACAGCTTGGCTACACTATTGTGTATCTAATTTCATTCCCCCACACTAATTAATGAACATAAAATTGTTCTCGGTCTGAGGCTAATAAAAACAAGGCTACAATGATCAATCTGGTACATACACCTTTGCCCACAGGTGGAAGAATTTCTTCAGGATATTCTCATATAAATAGAATTGCTAAGTTAAGTTATACATTCAATGCTGCCCAATGAAGGATATGAGATTTTATATATTTAATGGGTATGCCACCAAACTGCTCTCCAAAGACACCAGGTAATTTATACCCTTGTCAAGCACATGACAGGACCCTTTCCGCCATGCTCTCATGCACACTGTAAATTAGCAATTAGTACCAATATAAGAGGCAAAAAAAAAGGTATGAGGTTGTCCTTTTAATTCACATTTTCCTAAATATCTATAAGCTTGAGCATGCTTATTGGTCATTTGCATTTCTTCTCCAAAATATCCTTTGAGTATTTTTTCATTTAGTATTTTTCTCACTGATTTATAGTTCCTTGTGCATACCTATACATTAGTTGTTTTTCTGTTATATAAGTTGGACATATATTCTACCAATCTGTCGCTGACATCTTAATTTTATGGTATTTTTTTATATCAGAATTTTTATATTTTGATGTAGTCAAATATATTAAATTTTTCCTTTGGCTTCTGGGGTATGTAATCCATGTATATTTGAATACATACACACATACACAAATACATATATGCATATATATCATATACATGTGTTTATATGTACATGTATGATATGTATGTGTCCATATATATTAAAATGTATGGCCAAATCCCAGTACCATTCATATAATAGTCCATTACTCTTCAACCAACTTAAAATGACTAGTGGTAAATTCTCATTTCTACTCAGATATGTTTCATGAATTGACTTTTCTGTTCCACTGAACAGAATATAATATGTATATATTATACATATATACATATATACATACACACACACATATATATATAACTGCCTCAATAGCACATTTTGAATTGGTATAGCTTTACAGCAAGTTTAGGTGTCTGGGAGGACAAAGCATTCATTGCTCTGCTTTTTCAAACTGTGTTTGGATATGCTTGGACATTTCAAGTTCCAAGTTTCATTTTTTTAAAAACCCTGTTGGGCTTCTATTACAATTGCATTGGATTTGCAGATTAACTTGGGGAATAATTAAAAGCATAATAATAAATTATTTTCATCCAGGGCCATGTAGTATTCTTTAAATTTATTTATAGCTTTTGTGCCCTTTAGTAAAATTGTATAGTTTTCTTCATGTAGATTGTACATATCTCTTGTTTGCTGTATTCTCACATATTTCATAGTTTTTGTTAACATTATGAATGGTAGCTTTATGCACATGATATTCTTTTTTGCTTTTTAGAAAAATATTTTCAGTTTTTATA